GGGGGCTGCCCGTCTGTTTGTCCGTCTAAGGTTGTGAACGTATGCGCACCTTCGAGGATGCCATCGCCTTTGTATTGCAGTGCGGCGCATGCCGATATGCAGCGGAGGATCTCGTGGAGCTTGAACACCACCAGACGATCACGGATCGCGACAGACACCTGCACACACACAGACATGCAAATCAACATACCAAGAGATGCCTCTCCCGTCTTCACACCTCAGTGAGGAATATCTCGTTGTAGAGCGCTGCGCCGGCGCATCCCTCCAGCACTTTGGTCAAGTTGAGACAGCTCAGCTCGCCCAGCGATGGCAGCAGGGCATGCAGCACACGACCCAGGATGCCATGAGACGGCACCTGACGGTGAAGGATCAATCAACACACGAGGATACCCAGTCGATGAATGCATCTACTCATTCATGAGTGTGTCGGTGTGTATCTTGCCTTTGCGGTGCCGAAGGCGTGGAGGAGCTTGACGAAGTCGGGCGCCTTGAGGCCACTTAGCGCATCAGTGGGGGTGGCGACGGAAGCTGCGGATGCCGACGAGTCGCCATAGAGCTTCGAGAAGACACGAAGGATGTCATGATGAACCACCTGATAACCCAACCATCCCAGCACATACAAGTAAATTAACGTGTGAGCATCCGCCGGTCCGGTCAGTTCGACTCACTCACCCCCATTTGGGCGTTGGCGGCCAGTATGTCACACAAGGCCTCACACCTGACTGCCGCCCGCACACGGCCGTACCCATCGGCATCCCCCTCCCTCATCTGCCCCATCCGCTCCACAGCAGCGTCAGATATCACCGCATAAATCGACGCATCATCATCACCACCACCGCCACCAGCACCACCAGCAGTGGCCGGGTAGTACACGGCACTGAGGGCGTACGCGGCGGTGGCAAGGTCATCGATGGGGTAAGACGCCGAATGGCTGGTCAGATGGCTGACCAGGAGGTCGATCAGCCTGTCGCCGTCGCGGACACGGACCCTCTGCTGCTTGCCGCCGTTGTCGTCGTCATCCTCCTCCTCCTTGTCCTCCTCCTCCTCCTCCTCCTCCTCCTCCTCCTCATGTTTCCTGTACTGGTAGTGCACACGCCCGAAGCTGTAGAGAAGCGTCGCGACGATGGACGGCGTCAGCTGCCCGAACTCGCTGCCGACCTCCTCCCCACCCTCGACGTGCTGCCTGATGTGCCGGCTGGCGGTCTCAAACAAGGTGTTGCTCTCCCGCTGGTCGTCACTCCTCACGCCGCCACTGGTGGCCTCGCCATCCCGCGTCCACCTGGCCTCCCGCATCCTGTATCGAAACTTGCCGTAGACGTACAGTGTGGCGGCCAGTGTCGACGCGTTGAAGTGGGGCAGCTTGAGGGGGATCTCCGACGCGAACCGGCGGAGCACTCCCAGCGGCCGCACACGGGCCATGACGAAGGCGTGCAGCAGCAACACCATCTCAGCACCTGACCGAGGGGAAACGAACGAGCCAGAGGTTCAATCACACAAGGCATGAGCTCCTCCGACCGGCTCTCTCACCGCTGAACTGTGCGGCCAGTGCAATGGCTCTCTTGCAGATGGTCCGCCACACCTCCACATCGCCCGTCATCGACCCCGCGAGGCCCTCCCCGCCTCCAGGCCCGGCCGTTCCCGTTGCCGCCTCCCTCTCTCCATCAGCCGACCGCTGGATCTCCTGCGCCCGCCTCTGGGCCACCATGTAGGCCGTCTCGGTGAGCTGTCTGCAGCCCATCTCGCTGATCTTCCATGGGGGAGGGCACCGCACTCGTGAGAGCGACTCGGTGGCAGTGGCGATGGGGCGGTGAGGGATGCGGGGCGTGAGGGGTGCAGGGAGAGAGGAGCACCCGACGGCGGCTGCACAGACAGCACAACAATGGACAGAAGGGCAGATCGAGGATCTGTGAGTGCAGGCATGTTGGTCTGCATCGTTGTTACCTGGTGCGCGCGGTGTGCATCGCCTCTGCATCTTGGTGTGGCTGAGTGGATGAAGGTCACGATGAATGGTCCCTGGACGAATGAGGACTGTTCTTAAGGGATCTATCTGCGGATCTCTCTTCCTTTTTGAGCTCGCAGATTTCCCGTGGCACCTCACGGCGAATAAAGGGAGCGCCCTGACGCGGCGGAGGCCATGGTGGCCTCCGCGAGGAGCATGGAGCGCTCGAAAACGAGAAAAAGAGGAGATGCGCGAGCTCAAAATTTGAGCCTTGTGATGTAGCCTAGGGTGCTCCCAGAAACCGCTGCTCCTTTCACAGACAGGCTCTCTCACCCCTCGCTACGTCCGGCTTACTTCCTTCCCCAACGCTGTCTCTGCTTTGCGGCCCTGATTCTTGTACGAAAACATTGCCTCTGAGATCCTCTTCATCCTTCCTCTGTCTGCCCGTCTGTTTGTGTGTCATGCAGATCTTCGTTGTCAGCTAGGACACAGCACGATGGCCGAGGACAAGCACGAGGTCAACACAGATGAGGTACACCCACGAGCTCATCTGTGCGTGACCTCTCCCATCTCTTGCGCTTTCAATGGCTGGTTGCACAGACCTCCGCATCAGCAACAACCCCCCCGTACGAGCCGCCGGTGGCTCGGCTTCCTGAGATTCTTCTGACGACGCCCATTTGCGTGAAGGCAGAGTGGGTCACAGATGCGATTCACTCTCACGAGACTGTCGAGGAGATAGCGAAGGGCATGATCAAGCAGTTGGTTGAAGTCGGAGGAAGCAAGAAGCTTGGTCTGTCGTTACCGCACAGGAGTGGAGCGGCCCCGGCATTTCGTGTGTCCGCATCGGTGAAAAAACAAGGAACGAGGGGAAGGACCAAACCCGCCACGGTGAGGCACGAAGAGGAGAAAAGGATAAGTGACTGGATGACTGTCCCTATGGTTGGGTTGCCTGTGTTGAGTGCAGCTGTTTCCCATCGGGACAAAAGGAGGTGCGAGTGTCGCGTGCATCTTGCGCACCTTTTGGGAGGCACTCGCCTACCGGAATGCCCTCGTTGAGGTCATCGACCGCGCGAGGGCCACGGGTGTCCTTCCCGCTGTTCCAAGCAAGACGGAGGTGGTGCGTCAGCTGTGGCAGACATACAGACTGCCGGCCAGGGGGGACAAGATGGTGTGGAGTGACAAAACAGAGGGAGGGGTAGAAATGAAGGAAACGAGTATAGCGAGTCTGAGGCTGTGAGAGCAGGCGATGAACTTTCTGCAGCTTCTCGTCAGCGTGGTGGGAGTGAGTCAGGGAGTGAGTGAGTGAGAGGGCAGTGGGTATACACGAGCGAGTCAGCCACAGAGGGGAGAGTAGCGGCTGTGTGGGCGGGTGGCCGGGTGGGTGAATGATCGGATGAATGGATGGATGGATGGATGGATGCGTCCGTCCTTTTTTGACACCATATATATATCCGTTTTTGGTTTCCTGTACGTACGTACGTGCAAATCTGTACATACATACATACGCATACATACATACATACATACACATACTGGCCGTTGGCGGACGACGCCAAACATGTGTTGGTGCATCTCATCTGGCAAGGAATCTGCCTGGGGGAGCTGACGCACACCGAGCGGTCGAATGAATGACTGAGTGAGTGACCGAGCTCATTCGTCTCCTCGGCTGCTCTGTGCGCGTCCGCCCACCTGCAGGTGGCTCGCTTGCTGAGGTCTGCCTGGCCTGCCCACCACTCTTTATTCGCACCTACTGGCTTTGGCTGGCGCTCTCTCTCTCTCTCTCTGTGTGTGTGTGTGTGTGTGTGTGACCGTGTGTTGCCTGCGGATGTATGCTCCTTCCCTGTCGCTTTTTCTGATATACGTGCGTGCGTCGGTGACGTGGCCGGCCGGTTTTACCTCGCTATGCATTGTGCGGGTTCAAGTGAGTCATGGCTTATGACTTAGGACAGACGGGAAGAACAGCATTGCCTGGAAGCACCTCTAGAGGCAATGTTGCTTCCATGTAGACTGCGCAATTTGTGAGTCAATCATGCCTTCTGTCAAGCGGACGGATGGATGGACGGATGGATGGATGGCTGTCAAGCGGACGCATGGAGCGGATGTGGTGCATGAGAGACACGTCCATGTCCGTCTGTGTGGATCTGTCGGAAGGCCATGAATGTTCGCTACCGCCACACAGTCATAGTCCACACGCACAGCACACCCACATTGATCAAGGAGGGCGGCCTGGCTGCCTTCGGCAATCAGGAAAACTAATGCACCACCCAACCACACACACACAGATCCACACAGCGCACCTCAAGACCTCATCACTCACTCACACACACACGGAAAAACGACATTACACGAGCGAACACTCCCACCGACTAAACAACACCACACACACCCACGCGGCTCTCCCTTGTTCACTGTCCGTTTTCCTGCCGCTTCTTCTCCTCTATGCGCTGCATCCGCTGGTTGAACTTGTCCATCTGATCCACACGCTTGGCTCGTTCGGCATAGTTGACGTAGTCGTCGCCCGGCACGGCCTCGCACAGGTCGTAGAAGCCCTCCTCGTTGACGAAACAGATCTCGTAGCCATCGGGGTCCTGCGATGCCACACAGGTGACAGCACACCACCACCACAGACAGACAGACAGACACAGACAGACACAGACATGATCGAATGCCCCGGTTGGTGTGAGTAGGTGTGGTGTGAGGTCTTTGTAAGTGTGTCGACCTCTAGTATGGTGACGACGACGTCGGCCTTGCCGGGCGTTTTGAGAGTGATCGGCTCGTTCTGAAGAGAACACAGAAACACACACATGTGTGTGTGTTTCAGCCTGCAGCCAGCTGTGGCTGGTCGTGATCGATCAAGTCACTCGAGTCACTTGCCGACCTTGATGGTGTGCCCGGCGGCCTTGACGCGCTCGAAAATGGGCTGGGGGCCGACTGCATGGCATGACCGACACACACACAAAGAGATAGAGATATCGACCACCACACAGAGACAGACAGACAGACAGACAGAAATGGGAGCGTGTGATGTGAGGAGGCCAGGGCCACATCACATCACATCAGCTCAGCACACACATACCTGATGTGGTGAAGGCAATGCGGCCAAAGGCCTCCTTGTGCTCAACCTATTCAGACAGCAAACCAATAAAGGCGCTTATTCAGTGGTGTGCATATTCATGTGTGTGTCTGCCGGCTGCTGACCTCCCGCCCCTGCGGCAGCTGCACCAGCTCCAGACAGATGTGGTCGTTCGGGAAACGCAGACACACGCTGCCCGAAGTGCTGCCTGCACACACAGCCGCAGCCACAGCCACAGCCACACAGCCACAGACATGCGCCATTAATGCGCACACGAAGGCATCAAAGGCGGTGAGGTGACTGACTGAACCGGGCAGTTGTTGGTTGTCGACTTGTTCCATCTGCAGGAGGTCCCGCCAGTAGGCCGTCGACTTGGCCAGGTCACTCACATTCAGCGACACCATCAACACGGGATCACTTCCTGGAAGACACACGCACACAGACACACACACGCAGGTCATTCATTCATCGAGTGTCTGCCGTCCATCTGTTTACCCCTCTGTGCCCTCTTGTGTTGGGGGTCCATGGGCACGAGCTTGTAGCAGTAGTTGTCGGGGCCGGTGATGGTTCCGTCGGCCTCGTTGACGGCATAGCCCAGCCGCTGCGCCTCAGCAGACATCTTGCTCTGTGACACACAACGCAACGCAACACAGTGCAGCCCAATGGTTGCCTGCCTCATGGATGAGTGAGTCAATGATATTGTGTGGGTGGGCATTACCCACTGGAAGGGCACCCAGGGAGTGGGAGCATCCTTGACACAGCGAAGGCCGATGTAGCGCATGTCGTTGCCCTTGTCGTAGCTGACGAACACACACAGACGAACACACAGACACACAGACAAATGGGTGATTGCGAGTTCTCGAGTTCTCATCTGTGTGTTTGGTTGCCCACTGTGTGACGCCGTAGTTGGCGGTGATCTCGAAGCAGAAGTACTGCTTCTCTGAGCCATACCCAACCTGTCATCACATCAGCATAAAAAGATGGCGGCCACTCATACCTCTGCACACGCATGCAATGATATCTCTCTCTCACCATGGTCTTTGACCATGCTCCAGCATACGGCCCATTGCAGGTTGCCTCACATCCCTGTCCACACACACCCACAGTACCATACCTCGAGTGAGTCCACCTGTCGCGTGCATCATGTGTGTGGCTACGGCTGACCTCTTCGAACTCCTCATGCCGCAGCACCCGCATGCCAAGCACCGAGGAGAGGAACTCGAGCGTCTTGGCCAGATCTCCAACCTTGAACACCCAATGCAGCGCACGCCGACGGTCCACGACTGGCGACATGGCGCGGCGCTGAGAAAGAGATTAACGATTGCAGGGTTTGGGTAAAAGGGTTCGGCCACAGCTCGCCTCGGAGAAGGCTCGAGTTTGCCATTGTGACAGCACAGCAAAGATGGAGGATCGCTGGCAGCCCGAGGCTCCGCATCGTTATGCGGGAGATCCGACGAATGTGGTCAAGGTGGACCATGTGACGCGCAACGTGACGGAGGAGCACCTGCGGGAGATCTTCGGCGAGTTCGGACACATCAGACATGTGGCACTGCCGTGCGACAAACAGGTGACCACAAGGATAACGAGGGAAAGCAGCTGCCGGTGAGATACATCCTGTGTGTGTGTGACATGCTGCAGAACGATACGCATAGTGGCCATGCCTACATCGAGTATGAGAGCCGTGAGGCCGCCGACGTCGCACACCTGCACCTGGACGGGGTGAGTCACACCCACACACAGGGAGAGCTACATGCATCTGTCTGTCTGTCTGCCCGTCTGTCGACCCAGGCTCAGATCGACGGCAGCCGCGTGTCCATCGACTTCATCCTGCTGCCCGATGAGAAGGCCCGCGAGAAGGAGCGGCCCCCACCGCCCCGCCAGCAGGAGCACCCGGAGGCCTCCAGGCCGCCACGACACATCAATGGCGCCGGCAAAGGAGGGCCACGCCGGACGGCAGGCCCTCTGTGGTTCGAGCGACGGGACTCCAACAGGTTCCGGCAAGACCGGGATGACCGCCGCGACGCCAATCGTGACCGTGACACGCCTCGTGACAACCGAGATAACCGCGACAACCGGGAGGTGAGGCGTGAGGTGCGGGACAGCCGAGATGACCGCAACGGGCGTGACATGTCGAGGCGCGATGTGCGGCCGGGGGATGGGCAGCGGGTGGAGAGGGACAGGGACAGGGGACAGAAGAGGGAGAGGGAGAAGGACGAGGCACCTCTTGCGCCGAGGCGACGGTGAGCTTGCCGAGGGGTGGATAGATAGATGGACACGTGGTTGTGTCACTCACCATGTGTGTGTGTGGTGTGTGTGGTGTCTGTCTGCAGGGAGGAGTCCCCTCCAGTGAAGCGCAAGTAAGACAGCCAAACAAGGCGGCAAGACACACACAGCCGACTGATGACCTACAGCGCGTTCTTCTTTGTCTTATGTGCTTTGTGCAGTGGCGTGCGCAGCCGATCCCGCGACCGTCGGCCGCCTGCAAGAGCGTCAGCAGACACAGACATACAAATAGAGAGAGACGGACAGCGAGACAGGAGCACTTAAGATGCATTCACGGTGGTTGTCGGGCTGCTGTGCAGGTCCCCTGGCGCCGGCGGCCGAGGCGGCAAGGGGCTGGCGCGAGGAGGCAGGTCGCGATCCAGGAGGTGAGAGAGGGAGCGAGGGTGGGAGCCCAGCGAAGCTCACTATCTTTTGCTCGTCTGTTTGTTTCCCTCTCTGTGCGTTGCTGTCAGCGTGCGAAGCAGCAGCAGCTCATCGAGAAGGTCAGTCAGCTCAACCGCAGCGCGCACACGTGTCCTTGATGCATTGTTTGACCGCTCAGTGTGTCGTCCAAGTCCCCGTCGCCTTTGCGGAAGAGGATGCAGCACCAGCACCAGCAGCACCACCAGGCTAATGGCCGTGATCGAGATCGAGATCGAGGAGACGCCAGGAGGGACAGAGATAACAACAGGAACTGACTGATGGACTCACTGACTCACTGACTGACTGACTGAGTGACTGATTGATTAGTTGGCCGTGTGTGTGGTGCGGCGTGCCGACAGACAGAGCATCGCTGCAGAAGTTGTAGCGTCCATAAGGCCATCGTGAATGTGTAGACAGGCGGCTTTGTTGCGCTTTTTCATATCGGCGGGTGGTTTCCCTCACCCGTGGCGCATGCGTCTCGTGGTTCCTTGTTTGCATGGCTGCGTGTGTCTGCTTTCGTCACCTTTGCCCTCATCCGCTCTTCCCGTTTGTTCTACGACCAATGGGATGGACAGTTGAGGCCAGAGGGGACCGAAACAGATGGATGGATGGATGCGACCAAATCGTTTGCCTCGCGGCAGTGAATGGACTCGCCAGCTCAACATTGAAAAATCTTTCGACAATAGCTTTCGCACCGTCCGTCCGTTACGCTCTGCACGTATGTCAACGCGCATTCAGCAGTGCAGACATACCAAATATGTCTGCCGTAGCCACGCACACGCAGAGCAGCCTCAAAACGCACTTGGAACGGGAAGATTGCTGGGACGATTGCTCCGCGAATGCGAGCTTAGAAGAGCGAGGGGGTAGAAGAATTGGCACAGTAGATCTACAGCAGAGAGGCTCACAAGTGCACTGCCTCATCGCACCCCATCGAAGGCATCTATTGATGCGAGGGGATGAGACGGTATCGATGGTTGATTCCTCTGTGCGCTGTCCTTCTTGCCATCTCATGGTCGCTCGTGGCCTGCTCGCCCTTCCGGCGGATCCTCTAGCCCGCCAATGAGTCGGATCCCCTCCCTCCGGGCTGGCGTGACCCAAAACGGCTGAGGCTCCTGCAACTCTCCCGGCTCTTCCGCCCGGCTGACGTAGAGCGCTCAGATGGCAGTGTGCTGCGAGGCGACAACATCCTTCCCTATACCGAAATGGAGGAGCTCGTGCGGTGCGATTCATGTCAGGAGGATGCAGCGGCTTTGTTCGAGTGGTCTCACGGGGCGGGATTGGCGGACAACGACACCAAGTCTGCCTTTGAGTACAACCTATGCGTCGTGTCCTTCATCACGTGTGTGCGGCTGAGTGAGGCGCTGGCGGATGGCGGCCCGCGGGAGGGCTATATCATCTTTCTGACAGGGTCGCCTGAGGAGATGGAGGTATCGGATGTACCGGGGATATTGGTACAGCGGGGGGGTGCGCCTTTCGTCTTCTCGGAGGCTTTCTATCGGCTGCGTCACGTGGTCTGCTTCTACGCCTATCATCTGCCTATGCAGGGAAGCTTGGCTGATGACATCGCCAGAGTGACGTCTCTTCGCGCTATCGTGCTGTTTGAAGTGGTGAGCCACATATACTGATGCGCACATTGACTTACGCACAGTCTTGTTGCAATGCTGTTTATTATGTCAGCACGGTATGAATGGGCCCCTTCCAGCTACAATTGGCGAGCTGCCGTATTTAAAGAGCCTGTACCTGTGGAGCATGAATTCAAAAACAACCGGCCCCATCCCGCCATCCATCACCAACCTCTCGCGCCTCGAGGCTCTTGAGCTTACGAGGACAGACCTCTCTGGACCCATTCCCGAAGACATCGGCAGACTTCGGCGCCTGCGGGTCCTTAACATATGGGGAAACAAGCGGATGGAGGGGCCCTTTCCGGCTGGTGTGACGTCTTGCCGTAACCTGACCCGACTAGATCTCCATTCCATCGGCCTCCTTGGCTCTCTGCCTGACGATCTCGGCGACCTCTCTCGCTTGCAGGTGCTGAACCTGCGGGGTAATTCGCTGAGTGGGGAGCTTCCTCAGTCACTGGTGCAACTAAGCCAGCTGCGCAGGCTGGATCTATATGAAAACAACTTCATTGGCTCGCTGCCGGACGGGCTGGGTACCAAGATGGACAGCCTACAGAAGCTAGGTGTGTCAAGAAACAACGTACGTAGGCCAAAACCAACACACACGTAGATGTGTGTTTGCGGGCTATTTCTCTCTTTGCTGTCAGTTTTCCGGTCCACTGCCGTCTTCGCTGGGCGATGCGCGAAGCCTGACGCGACTAGCCATGCGTGAGGCAGGCTTGAGTGGCTCCATTTCCTCAGAACTAGGGCAACTGGTCCGCCTACGCCAATTGCACCTTGGGGTCAACCAGGTCGAAAGCCATACAGATGAATCACGTCTTGTGCCTTCCCGTGTTCTTTAGCTTTCGGGCCCCATCCCATCTGAACTAGGGCTACTGGTTAATCTACGCGAATTGAGCCTTAAAGGCAACCAGGTATATATATGGGCTGTAACTGCGTTATTGTGCCTTCCCGTGTTTCATGCACGTGCAGCTATCTGGTGCCTTGCCGGACACTTTGAGTGGCTGGAAGTCGATCGAGTATCTGAATTTGCGCAACAATAAGTTTATCGGCACACTAGATCCGCTCAGCAACCTGACGTCGCTCAGGCAGCTGTGGATTGGCGAGAACTCGGTATCACCAGACGGCAAAGATGTATGGTATGGGAACGCCGCACTCGTTACTGTGCCTTCCCGTGCTTGTGTGTGTAGCTTTCGGGTGAGTTGCCGCCCTCATTGAGTGGCTTGAAGTCGATCGAGTCTCTTGATATTGGCAGCAACAAGTTTGCCGGCACACTAGAGCCGCTCAGCGACCTCACGTCCCTCAGGCGACTGTGGGTTGGCAACAACTCGGTATGACCAATAGTGAGGACCGACATGCTATAACTACTGGTCAGCGTGTGTGTTGGGGTTTTCGTTTCAGTTCGAAGGTCACCTGCCTGTCGGCTTTTCGGCTTTCAAGAACCTCAGTAGAATCACCGCAGATAACAACCGGTGTGCTGTACGCTATACAGGTGCTGCGGGCATGTAACGGTTGGGCATGTGAATCGTCAGACTGGTCGGATTTGTGGAGCACAGCCTTCGCGGCCGTGGGTACGAGAGCCTTCACTGGTTACAGGTCGACCACAATCGTCTGAATGGGTCCGTTGACCTGTCTGTCTTCCCCAAACTCGAGAACGCCCGGCTCGACCATAATCTCATCACGAGAGTCACCGGCAGCATCCCACAATCGTCAGTGAGAAACACGCCTGCTCACACAAAAGGAACATTTTAGGGGGATAATCTCTCTTAGATTGCGTTCCTTGGATCTGAGCGACAACCTTCTGACCACTCTGCCGGAGGGCTTTCACTCAATGCCCAACTTGGAGAAGCTATACCTCGCCAACAATCACATCAGCCAGTGGCCCAAGTGGGGTTCCACAGCGGAAGGGGCCTGCAAAAAACCGGGTGTCTTGGGTGAGCTCTGATACACACACACACACACACTACATCCAGACAGGCAGGCAGCCAGGTAGTCAGGAGTTTGTATGTATTCTCTTGTGTGCATTTGTGTGACGAAACTCTAGATACGGGCGGGATACGTTTGTTGAATTTGCTGTCGTCGGATCCACCTGACTGGGACAGTCTGTACGAGCTGGACGTGTCAAACAACCCAATCAATGTCGACGTGACTGAGTTCTTCATGCCTCTCAAATGGCAGAACAAGTAAGTGAGGATCGCTAGCTTTGTGGCATTTGCTTTCTGCGCTGTGTCTTCGTATTCCTGATAGTTTGGTGGTGCTGGATGCATCGAATTGCGATCTGTACGGCGCGATGCGTTGTGAGGCCTTCTTGACATTCCCCCGTAGACTGCTTGGCCACGCCGCAGAGGTAATTGCCGATCCCACATCCAGACAAAGAAACGCACAACCAGCACTCTTTTGTGCGTATGCTCAGGTGGGTGACTCCTTGGACGAAAGAGAGAGTGTGACAGCATTTCGTCACCTGGGATCAATCTCTTTGAGCAACAACAACATCACCGCCATCGCTACGTTTCAAGCGTTTGAGTCCCCGCTGTACCACGTCGACATCCGTAACAACTCACTGAGACGAGTGGGAAGGCCCGACTCTAGGCTGCCTTCATCCGACTACGCGAGGTTCACACAGAATCCAGACCTGAGAAGTGAGCAGACCGATGTGTGTATCAGCCTTACACCCATCGAGGTGAGAAAAAGAGCAGAGCCTATGTATTGGTGGCCGATATATGTGTGTTTCTATCGGTGTCTGTGGGGGGTGTATGTGGTTTAGAAGTGTAATGATCTGCGACGGTCAAGCGGTGCGCATCAAAGCTTCATTCGGTGCCCATCATTAACTGCGTACGACGATCCACGCGTGACGCCACTGGTGCCCGACCCGCAGGGTACAGTAGGCCCTTTGTCACAGCACACGGAGAGCAGATACCCACTGCAGTGCGTCAGTCCACATCAGTGCATGTGGTTGGACATGGTTGGTGCAGGATATGTCGTGCGGACGTTGGAGAACGGTGAGGAGCGGTTCGAATGCACGGAGTTCTGCTCGGTACACAACAGGCTTGAGGTCAGATTCCGTATGGTCAAGTACACAGAACGAGTACATGTGCTGATTGTACCCACTGTGCTCACTAGTGTTCTCCCTGCTCGCACAGGTCGACTACACCTTCGCCTCGGATGCCCTGTGTCGGTGCCTGCCCGGATACGAGGGCACCGGCATCAACTGCACCAAGTGCCCCCCTGACACATACAGCAACAGAGAAATCGGCACACAAACGTGCAAACAATGCCCCGATGATGCAGGTCAGAGATGGAACAAACACATTCCAGTAGCCCTTGCGACTTACACTGTTGGTCTACGCGTGTGTATGCAGGTTCTGAGGAAGGCTCACCTGCGTGCTATTGCCGTCTTGGCCACCAGCGCGGCGAGGAGCCGTGCGAGCCGTGTACGGCTGGGTCTATCGGCGTGCGCAAAGGCGGCGCTGATGGAAGTCGCATCGCCTGGATCTGCCAGGACTGTTTGCCTGGATTGGACTGCTCCGTTCCCGTGAACTACAATGCGAGCGTGCTGCCGGGCTTCTTTCAGCTCACTGTCCAGCTGCAGTCGGCTGGCTCATCCCACAATGCCACTCGTGAAGTGACGACGTAAGGACAAAAGGCGACTGCCGAGCAGGCAAGTGAGCGAGGTCTTGGTGTCTCTCAGATATGGCGCTAGGTTGACCTCGTTGCCGATAGTGACGCCGTGCCCGTTGCCGTCGGCCTGTATAGGCACCAACAAGACAAATGGCCTCAACATATGCTCGGTAAGAGCCAATTGCATCCCTCCGAGAAACGCCATTTTTTCGTTCTTGCCTTGTTTGTGTGTCACACAGGAAGGGCATGAGGGTTTTGTGTGCTCTCGGTGCAAGGCGGGTTTCTCGCGTCAGACGCCCCAGCAGCCGTGCACCGAGTGTGCCCCGCTGTGGCAGATTGCGGTTGTCAATGTGCTCCTCCTGGTTGCCACTCTGATGGCCATCTTCATACTCACAGCACTCGCGGAACGGTCCACCTCTCACGCAAGACTTTTAAGTCGATCGATTTTCGTGTTGCGTGTGCGTGTGTGTGTGTGTATGTGTGTGTGTCTGTGTGTGTGCAGGGCGGCTTCGTCTCTGGGCGCTGAGGTGCCCTCTCAATTGACCAAAATCGGACTCTCGCACATCACCGCTGTACGTTACGAGATGCAGAAAGACGTGCACTCGCCTCTCATCACCTCTCTGTTGTTGCTGGTGGGGTGTGTGTGCAGGTGTGCGGGTTGGCCTTTCTCGCGTTTGACAAGTCGTCCATCTGGGGCGACCAGATATCGTCGCTGCTCGGCAGGTTCTTCGCCTGGGATGGCGGCATCGCGCAAAGCTATCAGGTAGCCATGGATCACATCACAGTCAGCACACCAACACAACACACGGACACCAATCGAACAGGTGTGCGAGTGTGTGCTGAGGCCTTACGTGGGCGACGAATGCGTGTTATATCGCCATGCCATGTGGCTGGCGCTCCCACTCATTTGGCTTACAGCTGTGCCCCTCATTGGTAACCATACACACATATCCTAGAGGGCGACGTATTGTGGTGGTTTCCACCTTGTCGTGTCACGGCTGCAGCGAGCGGGTTTGACAAAGCGCGGCATGCCTTCAAGTCGAGACGGCGCATTGGCAGCGACCAATCAACTCCATTGGCCACCGACACCCACCTCCGAGCCCTCTCGACACCGCCGTCCGTAACCGATGGCAGAGCCGACAACGCCACCGCCGCACACGGCCCTTACCAGCGAACGGTCACATTCCAGAATGACTCCCGAACCGAGCCAGTGACGCGTCCCTCCTGTCAGCATTCGTCAGCGGAGCCGCCCAAGAGCGGCCGATGGCGGCAGTGGCTCGACAACCGGGGCACCATGATGGTCGTCATCCTCACCTTTCTTCATCCCACAGTGACCAAGAACATGCTGGCCCTCCTGCGGTGTCGATGGTATCCCTATGTGGACGGTGTTATATTTATCGCGCCAGGCGAGAGTGTCAGCCTGCTGCCCATTGACCCGATGGATGACATGCGTCCCCGAATGGACCTCGACTCACACGTCATCTGTCGGTCGGCCGAGCATGCCCCTTTCCTCTGGATTGCCGTGGCTGGTCTATTGCTCTGGACATTCGCCCCCGTCATTGGCGGCGTGGCGTTTCTATGGCGACACAGAGACGGCCTGCAGGACCACCACACTCGACGGCGAGTGGGTTTCCTGTATGCCGGGTATCGCAAGAACTTTTACTATTGGGACGCCATCTTTGCCATGCGGCGTGTATTGGTGCTGCTGATCGCACAGCAAGCGACGGCGCAGCCCCGCCAATAGCTGCTCAGCTGGACTGTGGTCGCCACGGTCTGTCTGGCGTTGCATTTCGCTGTTTGGCCGTTCGATCGTGGCAACATGGACATCCTCAATCGGTCTGAGCTGCGTGGGCTGCTGGTCTGGCTCCTGTCGCTGTTCGTCATGCACTTTGTTGTCATGCTGCCCGAGGGGACTTCACTGGATCTGACGGTCGGCCTTGTGCTGGTAGTCATTGCGGTTAATCTGGTGCACTACATCATGCTGGGCACGCAGATATGTCGGTATGGCCTGCTGCAAGTGGGCTACACCTACACGGCCCTCACCGACCGCAAAAAGGGTTTCGGTGGGCAATGGAAGAGCACACAACCATCATCCTCTGTTCCATCAGCCTGCGTGTGTCGTCTCATTTCAATCAGCCCGAGTTGTTTCTGGTTGTCTGAGTGGCCCTCTAGTGTCGTGGCTCATCCACAGAGAGGAAGGCAGACGGCGCTTTTCACCCAAAGTCTTCTATGACTGGTCCAGCGCGGCCCTCTCCGCTGACGGCCCCCCTGCTGCTGCTTCTGCCTCTCTGTATGCCGGCCGGCCAGTGCATCGTGTGGTGACGGCCATGCAGCTGACGTCAGCCGCCGTGCAGGAAGCCATAGAGAAACTCAAACTCACAGACGTGCCCGGAGACTTGTAAGCACATACACACACACGCACCACCACGCACAGTAGTAGATGATTTGTCTGTGTATGTGTTGGTTTGGTCAGCCATGAGTTCCTGTGGAGCAATGCCTTCTTGGTGCAGAGCCTGCGGCAGAGGCGAGTGGAGACGCGCAGCCGACGAGGAGGCCATGTGGTCGTCCACCTGCCGAAACCCGACGACGGCAGCGCCACCGTAAGCAAGGCAACGAGGGAGGACCTGCTCATGTCCGCGGCTGGATGTTTGTTTGGCTGGCTGGGCAGAAATTGCGGGACATGAGGACTACCGATTTCTCCACTATATTTCGCAACTCTAGCGAAGGTCGGTTTGTTACGTCATCGTGATATGTACTACGCACACACATGTGATGGTGATGTGTTCAGTGTCCACTCGACTGGAGGCCGGCAAGAAATCCGATGATGTAGGTCTTGATCAGTCGGAGGTCTCCCGCATCGAAGCACAGCCGACAGACAGGTCCGCACCACACTCTCTGCCGTCCTTACCTCCGCAGCAGTGCTCTGGAACGGCTTGTCTCTCCTCCGGAGCTGGTTGGAATCGCGCAGACAGGCGAGGGAGGCTGAGAAGGCGTCAGAGAGAGATGTGACTTAGTGTAGTAGAATGGACGAAGCGGTATGCATAAGGTCGTAGTCGACGTGTGTTTTTGAGAGCTTACGATTTGTGGCCAGGGTTGTCTGTGTGCTGTGAGTGAGTGAGTAGTGAGTGATACGGGGCAATGAATACACTCGACCTATCAGCTGTGCCCGCATCTGCGTAGCCAAGGGTGCACACACACCACACACGACGTGTAATCGACGCGTCTCTTGTCTCTCCATGGCTGCAGCATAGTGCTGTGTCGGGTATTGGATGTGATGCACATGTAAGTACATGGCGATGCACATACTTACGCTACTTTTTTTTGCCACGTCGTATGACTGGCTCGGTCATCTGAAGGCCTCACGTACTCTGTTGTAGTGTGGCAGGCAGACAGGCAGAAGGGGCGTGTGGATGCGTTGTCAGTGGGTGGAGGACAGCTAGCCACGCAACCTAGGTGACAAGTTGCTTGGTGATGCCTCACGTGCCAGTGGTAGTCGTAGAGGAGTGCACTTGGAACAACATGCATATTGTGTAACGTGAAGGGACCGATCGCTATGTGTGTGTGTGTGCGGTGTCCATGCATGTCGGTCGGTGGCTGGACGGCCGGCCGATCGATGGAGTGTTTGACTGAGTTCGTGGACGCATATACAGATGCAAATCAGTCAATTTGCCCCTTTGATCCATTCCCATCAATGCAGTCATCCGTCCATCTGTGTTTCCCGTGCGTGTGGAAAGAACGGGTGGTCGCCGATGATGGCTTGTCTGTATTGTGGTGTGCGGGCTTCCTCGCCTCTGTTGCGATCTTGCATTGGTTGTCTCTCGAGAGCATACTTTGGTGACAAGTGGGTGCATTCACTGGATAGATGGTCACCGTATCACGCTATGCCACATCACCTAACTCTCTCCGCCGCTCTCTCTCCCTCTCTCTCTCTGCCGCTCTGTCTGTCTGTCTGTCGCACACACAGTACACCGACACACCCACAAGACAACACGCAGCACCAATCTGCGGTTGACAGGAAAAAACGGCACCACAGCACCAGCAGGCAGGCACCACACAGACTCACCCAAACGAAAGGTAGACCCACCCACACAGCCCCCACCCACCTGTACAACGCAACGCACCCACGCCCATGTGGGTTACAACACCGACACGCACCCGCCACATGCAGCCGACAGTGCGTGGCTCTCGCACCCTATAAGCCTGTTTGAGGCGAAAATTGAAAAGACAAGCGCGAAGCCGGGCTGTCTGTCTGTGCGAGGATGAGCTTAGCGTAGCTGTACAACAGTGAAAAAAGCATACACACAACGGGCCATCCATGCAGCCACCCATTCCCCTAGCTGACTAGTGAGCGATAGAGACATACAGACCGACCGAAGGCGCCCATCCATCCATCCATCCATCCATCCACGTGTGTGTCCATCACTTGGCGGCGTCCTCGTTGTAGGATTCTCGGAGGCTCTGCCAGCCACGTGTGCGGATCGCACCAACAAAGTCTGAGGATCGATGGACAAGACACACACACACAGTGAATCAGGCAGAGAGGAGGTGCGTGCGTGGTTGGTGGTCTGACCGACCGAAGAAGTGGAAGGGGCTTGCTTCGATGCCGTTGATGTAGTAGAAGCGGGCAGACAGAAAGGAGGAGAAGATCGACAACAGATACGACTCGGGAATCCTGAACACGGACACACATCCATCCATCCATCCATCTGTACCTCCCCACCTCCCACCCCATTCACGCACCGTGTCATGAGCCCCTCGACATTGACAAGTCCGGGGCACAGTGCATCGGGGATGGCCTCCTGCAGGGTGGCCTCGCGCAGCACGGGGTCGCCCCAGAGCGACGAGGGACGCCCGCCCTTGCGGGATGCCCTGGCCTGTGCCTGGATCTGGTTGTCGAGTGCGATGATCTTGCTCGAGAGGATGTCGGTCAGGTCGCAGATGGGCTTGCCGCTGCGCTCGCCCTCACGCCAGAGGGCCTCAAACTCCAGACTCGCGTTCTCCTCGATCTTGTGCTTCACCTGCTCCACATAACTGCATACACACCAAGCGCACAGAGAGAGGGAGAGAGGGGGAGAGATGTCCTGTGGGTGTTGGTGGCCCGTGCGGTGTCCTCGTGCAAGTACGTTTTGTAGAATTGGGGGGCTCTGTCAAGGTCGATGGCGCCGTTCTCCTTCAGCGGGCACCTCATGTGCTGGTCGAACTCCTCGTCTGTCATGGTGAGGGCCGCCAGCACCTCGAACGAAGACGACGTCACGCCGCCCTTGTTGGCCGACGCGTCCTTGAACAGGATCACCCCCCGCTTCTCGAGCACGCGGCGCGCGTCGTCCGTGATGAACACGTTGGCGCCCTCCACCACATACTGAAACCTGACATGGGACGGGACGACAGCACACAGGTCGATATGGCCTATGTGTGTGTGTGTGTGTGGTGACATTTGCTGCTCACCGCGGGTGCCCCTTCTCGATGTCCTCGTTGTCGAACATCCGGTGCACATTTAGCGCGTTGATTGACTCAGGCCGGCCCCCACAGGGATTGAACAGATCGGCCCTCAGCGTGCTCGTCAGGTGGAACTCGTCCCGCAGGGTGCGGCCGGATGGGACGTATGTGCCGTCGGGCAAGGTGACGTCCTTGTCGTGAATCGACACCTTGAAGCCGCCGGGGCTCAGCTTGCTCGCGTCGAAGAGCATGGCACACGTCTGGTCGGGCCCGTCTTCGAAGCGCTTGTGCGCCAGGCGCTCGAGCTCTGGGCGGTCGAGCCCGTTGGGGTCGTAGAGCACCCCTGAGCCGTCCACAATACCGACCGTCTTGGTCTTGGACATGAGTATGCCGTTTGATCCTAGGTCGCCATCCGGCCCGCCGGTCATGAACTTGGTGACCTCGTCCTCTTTCCTGCCGAGCTTGTGCAGGATGCCATTGATGAAACCTTCGACAGACGTGGTGGTCATGCCGAAGATGTCATGTGGGATGCCACCCATGTTGGGCGCCTTGCCCGTCGTGAAGCCCTGGACACAGACACAGACATAAGAGAGAGTGAATGCCAGTCGGTGTGTGATGGTCGGTAGCTTTGTATTCTGACCTTCCAGAACCAGGCGCCCCTGTGTCTGGCATGGTTGGCCGCCCAGTCCATCAACCCGCCCGTCCCCGTGTGCTCGTCAGGCCCTGGCCAGGAAGGACCCATCACCCACCCAAGATGCATCCGGGCTGTGTGGTGGTGGTGCTGTCGATTCCTCCTCACCGACCGAGAAACAGGGCTTCTGGGTGCCCCAGCCGGTCCACAATGCGGTCGTCGTGAAGCAGCAGGTCCAACAAGCCGTCCACATACTTCTTGAACGCCACTGGCGTCAACGCAGCCGCTTCCTGCACACACACACACACACACACAGAGAGAGAGAGAGAGAGAGAGAAATGGCTCCATGCATATCCATGGCCTCTGTGGGTTGGCGCTTATGTCTGACCGCGATGCCGGACGTCTGGGGCAGGAGGATGACCCCCTTGGCGCCGCCCTCCGGGATGTCTTTGTTCTTGTTGTGCTGCGTCCGGGACAGATTGTAGCACTCGTCAAACGCGCGCTGCCGGTTCTGAAGGTACGCCTGCACACACATTGCCCCGTCCACACGCATACACACACGCAGAGAGAGAGAGAGAGAGGGAGAGGGCGTCAACAGGCATGCAAGTGTTCGTGCAGCCGGACCTGTTGTGAGTTGGACCATACGACGCGTATGCCGCCCCTGGCGACCTCTGAGAAGCGTGTGTGGAATCCGTAGAGGCCGTTGCCGACTGCGAAGATGACGGCGTGTGGCTTCTCGGGGTAGTCGCTGTCAGGGAGGAAGGACGGGTTGAGTCTGAAGGCCAGGCTCAGCTTGTTCTCCTTCCAGAAGTTGGTCTTCTCCACATACTGATTGAACTCGCGAAACATCCTGCCAGGCAGACAGGCAGGCAGACAGGCAGGAAGGAAAGACACAGACACCCATGTCGACAGGTGTGCGTGGTGGGGGCGTCCTGTCCGTCTGTCGTCTGCGCGTATGCGCTTACCCGAATATTCTGACCCTATCAGGGTCGTCGAGCCGCTCGATGTCAGCAGCGACGGGTGCTGCGGGGTTGAATGGGGTTAGCTGGTTGTCATTCGCCTTGTATATCGTCGGATGGTGCAGCTCCTGAGCACACGCCCACCACATATACGCACACACGCACAGAGGCAGCAAGACAGTGGGTGCGCTTCCTTCCTGCCGATGGTTTGCCCAACGAACCTGGAACTCTTTGTATAGCTTCCTGACGATGTCTGGATGTTTGGCCACGGCGTCACCGATCGTTTCCTCAGAGAACGGCGGCCTTTTGAGCCGACTGCGGACCTCATACAACTCCTGGCTCGACACCTCAGCCGAATCTGCACACATGACACACACACACACACACACACACACACGGTGAGCGGACCACCTTCTGACTCCTTCCATCCCCCCCACCTTGTAGCACATTGGCAATCCGCGCAAAGGCGGGTCCGACGGTTCCGCTGAACTGGTAGATGAAGCGGAAGACGGCGTACGCGTATGCGGCCTCGTGTACGCTGAGCAGCCGGGCCTGTGCGAGGTCAGTGAAGTGGCTCCTGGGCAGGAGATACTGCATCTTGAGGGCCTTGACCACCCGGGATATCCGCTTCTCGAGCGTCAGCTCGGGGTGGATCACCTCGTTCGGGTCGGGCAGCAAATGGATGAAGGCCGTCATCATCGTCACACCTGCACCATTCGGGCGATCCAATAGGCAATGGGTTGTTGGTGGGCTGCGTGACGGACCGTTTGCGAGCGGCTCGACGTATTTCCGCTGTGAGTACATGCCCCACATGGCGATGGTGTCGCCGACCGTCGAGAAGAAGTCCGCCACCATGTGGTGGCGGCGAAAGGCAATGTCCAGACGGAAATACCCATCCTCGCGCGGCTCCTGAACACGCCACACACGCACGCACACACACACACACACAAAGCAGACGTGTGACCTGGCTGCATCTGGTGGTTGCAGCTCTGTGTCTGACCACGTTGATGAAGATACCGAGGCCCGAAGGGTCGTTGACGACTCTGTTGACGAGGTTCTGGAATATCTCCTCGGTGGCGGTGCCCTTCTTGTTGGCGTAGAAATACACGTCTGTGATGCGCTTCAGCTCGGAATTGTTCTCCAGGCCCTGAAGCTCCTGCACACACACACACACACACAGAGGCAACACACACATGGTGTGGCCGAGTGGCTGTCTGTGGCTCGCTCCTCACCTCTGGCGTGTACTCGGGGTACTCAATCCTCTGCAGGAAGTACGTCCGCAGCCGCTCAGAGTACTTCTCAGGGTCGTCATAGATCGAACCAGTCGACCTAACACCCGTAATACACACACACGTCGCCTGCCCGCCGTCTCACCCACCCAGCCACCGCACCTGTAGCACTGCAGCCTCCACGGCTTGACCTTTCCGGCCACGTCCACCCCGCCCAGGTTGAGGTATTTCTGCTCGAGCATGCGCTCCACCTGGTAGTTCTGCGACTGCTTGCGGTTCAGCAGCGACGACCGGGCCATCCAGAAGACCTCCGTGTCGGTCTCCTGCTGGATCACCGGAAACAGGTCGTTGTCGCTCGCACGATTCAGGATCTTGGCAGCTATCACCGACTGCACCGCAGAGAGCCACACCCACAGCCACAGCCATGTCATAGGGGTCTCTGCATGCGTTTTGTGTGTGTTGTGTATGTGTGTGTGCCTGCAGGTTTTTGGCGATCATTTCAGGTGCGGTGGTTTGGAAGTAGTATTCGTTGAGCCCGAGGTTGTTGTAGTACTCGAGGCACTCCTCCTCGATGAGGGCGTGGGAGAACATGTTGGTCGACGCCAGAATGCGCTTCACCTTGTCGAACTGCTGGCCGTACCTGACTCACACAAAGCAACCAAACACACCATCACACACACATCACAATCAATGAGTGAATGAGTCAATCAATCAATGGATCATTGTGAGTCATTGAGTTGAGTGTGTGTACGTGTTCACCTCTGGTGCATCCCCTCGTTGGGCGTCTCCTGTGGCTCGGTGAATGAGTCGCCGAAGTGCCCCACCACCCTCTTCCGCTTCATCGCCTCCGACAAAGGAACCGTCGACAGCCGACGATGCGACAACCATCCTGGCAGCGTCTTCGAGCACCGCTGCCAGGAGTGTTGAAGGCGCGCCACCGCCCCGGCTCCAAAGAGCCCTCTCATCTCTTCCGTAGCCTCTGGTCTGAGCTCGCAAAAAGAAGTTCGAGCTCGCCCTTCCAATGGCTGTGACATCCATGTTTCGACGCCTGGCGACTTCCATATATGACGCCCACATCCATGACTGCTGATGATCCGCTGTGGCGCAGCGGGGTGCTGCCGTGCCTTCCCGTCTGTGAGCTTGTTGCCGCTCGAGCCACCGACAGATCACACGCAGCGGTGATCACGGCGGACCTGCTTCTGCAGCGCATCGACGCCCTCCTCAGCCGCCATGGACTCACTGGCCTCATCGACATCGACCGCACCACGCCCTCTCTCAATCAGCTCGGCGGCCTTATCGGCGTGATTCTGGGCTGCTTGCAGCGGCTGAGGGCATACACAAGACGGTTGACCGGCCGACGGCTGACGCGCTTGGGCTACTTGGTGCGATGCCTTTATGTGCTGGAGCAGGGCGGCAGTGAGTGGCGTGTGATGGGCATGGCTGTCCGGCTGGCCGCCATTTGTCGGCTGACCCCCAATGGGCTGCCCCTGGTGCTGTCAGTGGCTCACCTACACAGCCGGGCCGCCTTTGATTCGGTGCCCCTCACTGTGGCGATCTATCAGCTGCTTTCACATCAGCTGACATGCAACGGATACAGCCTCACGCTGCAGCCGCTCAAGAATCGGCTGTATGCAATCGGAACTCGTTCGTTCCGTCGGGTGCTCTTGCGTGTGGTGCCGTTGGGTGATCTCCCGGTGAATCACCGCTTTGCTGAGGGGTACCAGCAGAGTGACCCAGTCGTCCGATGGGGGCCCTGGGTTTATCTCTCCTTCTCGGCCTTTCTCCTGGACACCCTGGGGATGAGGCACTGGATCTCGCTGCGGGCGCCCATGACCGTTCAAGACAGTGTCTATCGGTCGCTGCTCGACGGTGACATTCCCGAGCAGCATCGAGCAGACATCACAAGGAGGTGTCTTCGTGTGTATGTCAGCGGCCTCCAACCTGAGGACAGTGCGGCTGGCCGGCTGTGGGTGGCGAAGGCGTTGATCCATCTGTATACGACAGAAATCCCTGCCGCCGCTGCCCCTGCCCCGCTGAGCGTCCGATTCCCTGTGTCGATGCCGATGTGGCGCCATGTGCTGGGGCACTTTGATATCGAGAGCGGGAGGGTTTTGGTGTGAGTTAGTATACTGATGAGATAAGATAGATAGATAGTAGGGCCTGATAGGATGAAGAGCCTGTGCCGATGACTTAAGTGCCTGTGCGTGTGTGGAGCCAAACCGTCTGAGCTCGCTCCTGTGGTCGCCATGTGTATTTATGTGTGTATGTGTGTGTGCGTATGAGTAGTTCTGACACTGACCGGTCGGCCGCCACTGAGGACTTGTCAGCATCCATCATGAAAAATCAATGCGCTCACCTGGCTGAGTCTTCTGTTGTGTCCGTCCTCATTCACCCAACACGTGGGTGGCAGAGTGAAAAAAGGCACTCAATACACTCACACACACATGACACACGCACCTCAGGCAGGGCAAACAACCAGGACTACCTGTTGTCGGAAAAAACCAGCGTCTGCAGACATCGACGTGACGACACGCAAGGTGACAAAATATATGCAAGGTGGCAAGGTGGCAGGCACGACTAGAAAACGACATGACTGACTCACTGAATAAAAGAGTCGGCATGGATGTATGGATCCATGTGTGGGTGGATGGAGGGAGGAAAGGCACGTACGCACAACATACCGTGCATGTGACAGGCAGAAAACCTCGAGCATTTGCGTCATCTCATCATCCCATCACCCCCCTCTGCGACGCGGCCATCGCCCTGGCGATCTGTGCCATCTCGCGCTGCATTGCCCTTTGCTCACCCGCCATCTGCCTCTGCGCGGCGGCCATCTCGGCCGCCATCTGCCTCTGTGCCGCCGCCATCTGCATCTGCGCCGCGGCCGCCTCCAGCTGCCTCGCCCTCTGGTCGGCGGCCATCTGCCTCTGCGCGGCGGCCGCCTCCAGCTGCACTGCCCTTTGGTCGGCGGCCATCTGCCTCTGCGCCGCCGCCATGTCCCTCTGCGCGGCGGCCATCGCTCGCTGAATCTCCCTCTGCTCGGCGGCCATCTCCCTCTGAGCCGCCGCCACCTCCATCCCCCCAGGAAGTTCTTGAAGAAAGGCGCGGAGGAATTCGGGTATGCCGGGCGCTGGCGCTGGTCCTGGTCCTCCGGCTGCCGGGGCAGCCGGAGCCGCAGCCGCGCCACCCCTGTAGGCACGGTGTGGGCGTGGCGGGTGGACAGGCACGACACGCGCATCGGGATGGATGTACGGACGGGCTGAACCAACGGAGGAAAAACGGCCACGATGAGCAGTCTTGCTGATCAGGCTGTGTGTGTGCCATTGTGTGGATTCCCACCTTGCTGGGGGTTTGGCACGATGACGCAGCCGTCACCAAAGGGGCCGTGAACACCGAAATGCGTGTAGTGCTGAGAGAGGACAGCAGGAAGATAATAGGTGACATGACGAGTGTGTGCGCGTCACATCATGTGATTGATGGCGACATACGTCAGCCCGTGTCAGCTGTTGGCCGCAGATGTAGCAGAAATGAACCCTATTGGCCTTGCACTGAATCGACTGCAGACAGACAGACAGACAGACATACAGACAGAATCGGCAGCAGATTGACACGTGCCCATCCATCCCCCCATTGACGTGCATATCCCGACGCACCTCGCAGGTCATGAAGTTGCATCCCCTCACTTTCTCGCACATGACGCCGCACACCGGGCAACGCTGCAAATGAAACACACATGCACACATGGCACGCACACATCTGTCCGTTCTTGCCACATGTGTGCCCTCTGCTGGCGCCATACCCTGAATCCCTCCCGCTCTGCGAGTCGGTTGAAGGCGCCATCGCCCTGAGAGTTCTCCTCTTTCCACCGTCGATACTCCTCACACGTACTGCCCTCGTGGGCCTGGTCGTTAATGGCAGCCCTCTGTGTGTGTGTTATCCATTGCGTCAGAGCATGAGCTCACCTCTTCCAAGCAGTGAGGGCAGAACTTACGGCCGCATTGGGCGCATTTCACCTGTTTAGATCATTAATACGCAATGTCAATGATTCTTTCGCGTGTGTGTGTGTGTGGCTGGTGCACGCTTGGGTGTAGCGTACCGATGTGGCCGTCTTGTCGATGATGTAGGTGACGCAGTCGGGCGAGGGGCATGTGCTGCAGCCATGAACCCCCACACACACACGGATTACGTATGCGAGTTCCTGTGGTTCTGTCGTGTTGTGGGACTAACACTTTCATTTCGTTGTCGCCCGGCTGATACTGCTCCAAACTGAACGACGCGCACACACAAAGACACACACACACTATTCCCCGCTCCACTTATCACGCGAGCGAACCGAAAGCGGAGGAATTTCTGCTTGTCCTCCTCTGAGAGGACCCCGACGATCTGGTCGTAAGACAGCTCCTGAAAGGACGCAGGCAGGCAGACCCATCAACACATCAGTCAGGCGTCCACACAGACATGACACCAGTGGCGCGCACCTGTTGACACTGATTGTTCTGCTCGTCCACGTGAGGGCACCGTAGATCGTTGGCTGAGATTCAATGAATGCGGCACAGAGAGAGACAAATAAGGAGGAGTCGTTAGTGTGGATGATATGGATATGGATGGTGGCAGACGAGACGTGTTTGTGTTGACAGTGGTGGGTGGCGGACTCTCTGTACCAGAGACTCTGCCCCCGTCGACCTTCGACTTGACGTATCCGACGAAACAATCACTGCAGCAGGGCAGCCACCACACACAGGCACACACACACACACACACATCAACATACGGCCATCTCGTTTTGTCTCGCTCCACCCCTCCCTGCCCTCTCCCACCTGCAGAGGCGATGTCCGCACTCGAGCTCGTAGGAGCCATGGATCTCGCAGGAGTCTTTGCACACCATGCACTCAAACTGGCTTGCCATCTGCACCACATGGAGGCGCACAGAAAGGCCACACGTGAGGGTGCTACGGAGTGGGTGCGCCAGAAAGACGCACCTGTGCTTGCTCCATCTGGTGATCTGCTCCTGCTGCCGGTCCTGCTGATCTCCCGTTACTGATAGACCCAGGGATAATAGATTGGTAGGATCATCAATCAATGGACGAGGCGTGTGCCGGCGATGTGAATCATGGAAATGCCTCACCTGAGTGCGCGTAGGACTACGCTGGATGCAGGAATATCCCTCCACCTTGAGAGCTCGGAGAAAAGCTCGGACTCAGGCGTCCGGCACAGCGGTTTCAGGGAGGCGCACATCTGGAAAACTGTCGCCTTATGTCTCTGGGGATGATAATTCCGAGCGTCGTGCGCAAAGAAAGTCAGGTAGGGAGTGATTCATCGACTGCGTACTGTACACGATAAAGACATGCACATCGGCGGACGCGTAGAAAGTGTGAGGGAGGCATGCAACACTCTCTGGCCGAAAAAAGAGCGGCCGCACTTCCATGCACTCGCCCGTCTGTCTGGTGCACCCGCCCGCCCCGAACCATGCAACGATCGATCGAGTACCACCACACACAGCGACGATGCATTGAGGCAGAAGACACGCACACTCTCACTCACACGCACCCCCCAGCCACCAGCTGTATGTATCTCTTTGCGCCTCGCTCAGCCGTCCGTCTCGTTCACACACACGTGAATGACACGCGGACACCGGACAGCGCCTTGAAAGTGTATGTGATGTGATGGAATGGAACGGAGCAAAGACCATCAAAAACGGCAAAGAAGCGCTGGACGGTAATCACTTTCAAGCCGTCGGAGAGTGACAATATAGATAAAGGCAGAAGACACACATGCCCCACGCCACAGCTGGCTGGATGTGTCGCGTGTTGGCCTCTCCCCTGTGTGTCTTTCGCCCAGCCACCTGTCTGTCTGTCTGTCTCATACCAGTGAGTGTCGTATGCACACAGACGCACACATACATACATACATACCTACCTACATGTGTATAAATGCCATGGAATGGAATGAACCACTGAGCCGCTTCCTTCACCAAGGCACACACGCCACCCACCAGTCAGCGTTACAGCACAGAACAACAAGATGGACAAGGCGGTGCTGACATCGGGTCTTTGTGCCGCTCACGTATGCGTCAACACAAAAGACGCGCAAGGGATTATTAAGTCAGTCAGTCAGTCAGTCAATCAGTCAGTCAGACAGACAGAGAGAGAGAGGGAAGGCCTACGACACACACGACCACCACCAGGCACATCGACGCAGGCACTAAGAAAACAGACATGGCGTCGTTTTCCTGGCAATGCCGCCTAGTAGAAGATCTACCTACTGGTGCATGCCGCCGACGTAACTGATAGATACGCGTGCGCGTCATTCCGAAACACAGACAGACAGACAGACAGATAGACGGGCACGCCACACACAGAAAGACCTGGACGTCCACCGCTGGGAAATAACCGACGCAACTCTCGGCTCTCTCTCTCTCTCTCTGATGCGCACGTCGGCAGAAAATGGTCTGCCGTCGTCAAGATGTCTTTGGGAAAAAGTGTCGCTTGAAACGAAGATCCACGTACACACCCACCCACCCATCCATCCATGCGACCACTGGCCTCTCGGCCCCTGGGCACTCGAAACAGACCCCTCGGTCCATCCATCCATCCATCTACTTGAGACTCTCAGCCAATACTCGGAACAAGTCAACCTGCACACCATCACACACACAGACACGCAGACACACACACAAGATACACAGACCACCATCTGTGGCACTGCCTGCCTGTTGTCCTCCCCTTGGCTCACCTGTGTGGTCTTCTCTACTGCGGCATGATGGGTATGATGTGGGCGAGTCCGTGTTTGGTCAGCAGGGGGCGGACCAGGGACATCGCGATGGGGAACTGGTCAGACAGCCGCGTGTGGCCCTCGAGCTCCACCTCGGTCGTGTAGAGCTGGATGTGACCACTGTGCAGGTACAGTTGGGCGGAGATGGTGTCGCCCTCCCTCATGCCCTTGAGGATGATGTGTCGCCGTCGCCGACGATCCCCCTCCTCGGCGGTGAAGATGAAAGTTGATGGTGGTGTGGCCGTCGATGGGACAGGTCAGCAGCGACCGATAGCCCTCATGACCACCGCCCCCTCCCACCCGGAACACCTGCTTCTGACCCACCCTCTCTTGGTCACGCCACATGTCCAAGACCATCCTTTTCATGAAGGCCGTGAACGAAGGGGAGAGGGGGAGACCGAGGCGGATGGGCGGGTTGTGGGGATCATATGTGTCACGGACGGGGCTGTCGGGAGGGAGGGCGGACAGCGGCACCGTCTCGAACTCATGGAGGGTGACGCCACCGTCTCCGATGCGATACCGCTGCCGCGTCACCCCACCCTCCCCCTCCTTCTTGGCCTCTTTCTTGCCCTCATTGCTATCACCGGCCTCATCCACCTTTGTGAGCGCCAGGCTGGTCCCCCGGTAGTTGAGGAGGTGGCCGAATGTGCTGTACTGGCGGAGGGCCGCGGGCATCGAGTGGAAGTCCCTCTTGCTGCGGAAGTGCTGCGCCATCCACTGGGGCGACATGATCAAAGGCAGCAAACCAGTCGACGGCGTCAGCTTGTAGATGTCAGCCAGCCGGATGAAGTCGGGCCACTCACACCACACCGCCCCGCCGTACTCGAGTGCATATGCGCACTTGGTGTAGTACTGAAGTGTCGGGCGCTGCATGTCGATGAGGCCGGTGAGGTTGTTGTCCGTGAGGTGCTTGTCGACGCGGCTCTGAATGAAGGCCTCATTGACGAGTTGTCTGCCGTGTGCCCAACTGATGCGGCGGGCCGAGCAGACGGCCTCATCCACCGACAGCATCGGGTAGACCACGTCGCGGCAGACATCAGGCGGCAGGCCGTCTGCAGCTGTATTGTTTGTGGTCTGAGTGGGGGCATGGGCGGCTGGTAGGGAGGGGTGGGGGTGTGAGGGAGGGGCCTGGGGTGAGTGAGGGGCCGCCATGCCTTGTGTGATGGCGGTGAGGGCGTCAGAGGCGGCCGAGATGCTGCTCTTGAGGGTGGACCAGTGAGGAGCAACAGAGGGCACCTGAGGCCATCGACACAGACAGAGAGGAACCAGTTATGGCGGCGGTGGTGATGGGATGAAGGCTCTGACCTGGGCTTCGACATTGGCGACGAACGAGCCTTCAATGGTCGTCACATCACACTCCACCTGACCAACACAAGGCCGAGCTGTGTGTGTGGATGTGTATCGTCATCGCGTCCTCACCTGTGTCACTTGTGCCAGCAGTACTGAGAAGCGCCGCTGCAGCTCCTCAAAACTGAGACTGTCGCCGGCCGCCTGCACACAGACAGAGAAGACAGAGTTATGGTGGCGCACAGAGGGCTGTCCAAGGTGTATGGGACAGACCGCCCACCGATGCGTCATGGGCGGCATCCATCTGCTGGTGCGATGACATCCCACTCATCCCATGATCTGACAACACACAGCACATGATCTGTTCATACCATGCTTCACCCCATCCTCTCCATCTCCCTCAGCTCACCTGCGGCAGCCGGACCGTCGACGCGCTGGCGCTTCCCGCCATCAGCGTCACCAGACATCTCGAACACACGCTAATGGACGGGAGCAGCAATTGCGCCAGGGAGCAGCAATTGCGCCTCGCACGTCGCTGATAGGGCAGAGTGCGATACTCCAGCGAGGAGAAAACTGCATCCAACCTGTCCTCTTCTTGCATTTGAGCGCGCAGAAAAGCTCGCAACTGCCAGGGGAGAGGAAACAGCATCTCTTGGAAACAGCGAGGCCGTCCGCTTTGGTTGTATACAAGCTTTCAGATCTGGTACGAAAAAAACTGTCAAACACACAGATCTTTCCATGAGTATGAATGCTCCTCGGTGGTTCAATTGTCCCAATCGCGTACGTGTGGTTGTGCAGCCCTCCAACGCTTCGACGATGAACATCGCGCGATGTGCTTCATTCTCGTCTGCATCTGCCAGTCCGGCCCGCCCTCCACACGCCAGCAGCGCTCCCACCGGCTTTCGCCGGAAGTCAAGCACCACGGTCTTCCCTGCGACTGCGTATATCCCGGCCGAGCCACCCACACTGCCCGCGCAGCCGGCGTCCATTCCCGAGGTGGATGCCGAGGACCGCTACCAAGCTGATGTGGGCAGAGCGGGTCTTCACCGCGGCGTCAGCACGGCCACCAGCAGCGGGGGGCTTCGGGGCAACGAGACTGAGATTGAGAGGGTGGCCAGGCTGCAGAAGGTGGGCAGTATCGCTGTGCACGGAAGAGTGAACACTCCAGGTCAGGATGTGTGGTGTGGTGTGGTGCGTGAGGGCCTCAGGCGGCTCTTTGGGTTGAGAGGGCGTGGAAGGGGAGAGGCCTTGACGATAAGGCCACGGAGCTCGACGAGAGGTCGCTCGTGTGGTACGTCGTGCAGCGCCGCCTGAAGCCCTTCCTGGTTGTGGCGACAGTCGTCTACCTCACACTGGTCTTTTTCGAGGTCTGTCATCATCACACGCACCACCGACAGCTCGGACTGATGATTCCTCCTTTGCTTCCTTCTCCTTCAGATCCCCAGCTGGTGCATGCGGGGCCTCATCGCGACGCCATCAGACCTGGCGTCATGCCGCATCGTCGAGAGCCCCACCTACCCCCTGCTGCCGTGGTGGCTGTCCGTCACGCTCGACATGGCCTGCCTGCTGGTCTTCAGCGCGCGGTTTGTGATGCGTGTCCTAACCTATGGTCGGAAGAGCATCACGACCTTCCCGAGGCGCATCATCGGCCTGAGCCTTTTGGGGCTGCTGCTGCTGGTGGACTGCCTGCAGCTGGGGCGGGTGGCGCTCTACGGCTCACTGCCCACCATCTCACGAATGTTCAGACCGGTTAGGAAGTTTTTCCGGAGAGAGGTCAGGGTGGATGTGTGTGTGTGTGTGTGTGTATGTGTGTGTGTCCAGGTGATGGTTGTGTTCATCTTCAAGACGGCGCAGAAGGAGGTGGTGCGCGTGTATCGCACCCTCGTGACGTCCCTGGACGTCTTCCTGCTCTGCTTCGCGGTATTCTTTCTGTTCACCTGGGCCGGCGTGCTGATCTTTGCGCGGACCAGGGAGGCAGAGGAGGGCTTTGAGAGGTCAGTGCGGAGCCATGGGGACACACAAAAATGGTGTGGTGTGGCCATTGGACGACCTGACTGTCTGTCTGTCTGTCTGTTTATCTGTCTGTCTGTCTGTGTGTGTGTGTGTGTGTGTGGTTGTGTCAGTTTCTCAGAGGCGTTCTTCCTTCTCTTTGTGACCTTCACGACGGTCAACTTCCCCAACGTGATGATGCCCATCGTCAACATCAACCGCTGGGCGGCCCTCTACTTTGTCTTCTTCATGGTCGTCACCCTCTTCCTCCTCTCCAACGTCCTCAAAGCGGCCTTCTACTACTACTACAGGGAGGAACTCGGTGAGTGAGTGGGCGGCTGCGTTCGTCCGTCATTGTTATGCCATGCGGGTCGTTCCGTGAATGGATTGTCTGTCTGTCTGTCTGTCTGCTTGTCGGTCAGGCGATGAGGTGCGCGCCTTTTACACGTCACGGGACCGCTCCATCGAGATCGCCTACGATCTGCTCCGCACCGAGACGCCCGAAGGCAACGGCATCGACCGCGAGACATTCGTCGAGTTTTTCCTCGGCTACTTCTCGCCAGTGACCAGCCACCCTCGGCTCGCCCTTAAGCCGCGCGGCATCTGTCGGTCGTGCATCAAGAGGCGGAGACGGTCCCACTCATTCAGGCGGAGCGACAGCGCGCCAGAGTCACAGGGGGAGAGGGGCGCGCCCACACCCTCCATGGCGCTGCTGACGCGGCTGGCCTCTGCCAGTCGGCTGAGTGTGGGGGGTCCCTTGTTGCGGCTGGCGTACCCCCAGCGGGACAGCATTGAGGAGACGCTGCAGAGCGATGTGCTCGAGTACCAGACGGGCCGGGCTGAGAGGATATTCGAGCTGATGGACCTCTCTGGGTGAGTGACTGAGTGAGTCTGCAGTGAGGAGGAGAAAGGAACCACTCCGTCCTCTCTTAATGGATGTGTGTGTGCTGTGCAGGTCGGGGCTGCTGGAGCTGCATGAGTTCTTGCGGCTTGCGGTGGTGATGGCCGACCCCGCTGTGCATCTGGTCAAGAACCCGCCGGTGGAGCGGATGGGCATCCTGCGGCGCATCCAGATGCAGGTGGGGCACCTGACGGCCTCGCTCGTCTGGGGGCTGGTCATGGACGCCTGTGTGGTCGTGAGTGCCGTGGTCACCCTGGCACAGACCCTCTCCTTCCTCAACGCCAAGACCCTCGCGCAAGCCACCGAAGTGAGAGAGACAGGGGGGAGAAAGAGGGACAGAGAAACGAGGCCGCTTAAGCGACTCATGGTGTATGTGTATGCCTGTGGATCGATTTGTCTACCACACGACACAGGTGTGGGTGCCCTACGGTTCCTATGTCCCCTTCTGGGGCATCATGCAGCTGGTCCTCCTGTGCGCCTTCGCCATCGACCTGCTGGCGGCCTTCTTTTGCGTGGGCTTTGAGCGGGTGTGGAACAGAACAGCACAGATACCCAACCGGTTCGACACCCTGGTGTTCGCGGCCCAGGCGGCCATCCTGGCCTTTCTGGCGGTGTTCTTCCCGCCCGGAGCGGCGGCCGCCGGGGGCGGGGGGGAGGGGTCGCATGACGCTGTGTCATGGAGCCTGGAGATCTCGACCAGGACGCTGGCGGTGGTGCAGATGCTGCGGCTGGGGCGGGTGCTCTGGCACATTCCCAGGGTGGAGCAGCTGTGTAAGAAGGGAGGGGAGGAAGCACACACGTGTCGCTCTGTGTGATCGTGAACGGGTGCGATCTGTTTGGTGTGGTTACATTGTGTGTGTGTGTGTGTGTGTGTACGTCTTCAGGTGTGTCGCTATGGTTCACCACGGGTGCCTTCCTGCAAGTGAGCTCCATCCTGTGTGTGTGTTTCTACGTGTACGGCGTTGTGGGCATCCAATGGTTCGGTGGACTCATCTGGCCCGACACACCCGTGCTGCAACACACAGACTGGTCAGCAACATGACGAGAAAGAGTATAGGAAAGTCACCTCTCTCCCCGATTGTCTCATCTGTGTGTCGTGTGTGCAGGTCTGACGCGCAGTTTTGGGGCTGCAACTTCAACAACATGCCTGGCGCACTCACGGCCCTCTTCTCAATGCTCATCGTCAACAACTGGAACGTAACCAAACAACCAACCATCACACACAACACAACTCACACACGCATCCACAAGTGTGTGATGACTGAATGTCCTGCAGGTGCTGGAGGACGGCTTGGAGCTGGTCACTGCCGGGAAGCTCTGCCGCCTCTACACGGTCTCCTTCAACATCATCTGCGTCATCCTCATTCTCAACATCCTCGTCGCCGCCGTTGTTGACGCCTTCGTCACCCTCGAGAGCATCAAAAACCAAAAGAAGAAAGAACTCGAGACGCGCACCGGCAGCAAGGACATTTCCGAGGTCATCGTCGGCGAGACTGACTTCCTGGGAGAAATGCCGCCAGAGGTTAACGGCCGCAATGGCGCGGCATTGCCAGTGGCTGGGGAGGTCGGTGTCGGTAGGCAGCCGTCCTCTTCGTTGAGGAGGGGCAACCTCGGGACGATTTTGCGTCGGGCGAGTGCCGACCCCACGCTGGACGAGCTGCACCGGCGGTCGGCGATGCTGGGCAGAGAGGAGATTCTGCGCAACATGTTCATGGTGAGTCAAGGGACACAGGGAGGGAGGGAGGGAGGGCTCTGTCTGTCTGTGTGAGTATGTGTGTCTTTGCCTGATCGATCAGAGTGATCTCGAGATGGACATTGCGCATTCCGTGAGTGAACAGGTGGACGAGGGCGGGCTGCCCGCAGTGGCCAGTAGCGGCCCGTACCACCTGCTCACCGATACCGGTGCACCCACGCAACACCCACAAGTGAGTGATCAAGTGGGACGGCACGAGAGACATGCATCCTCACCAAATCACTGCCGTCCTCTGTTTGTGTGTTGATGTCAGGGATTTTGAGTGGCCGGCTGAGCGAATGTCTTTTTGCCTCCTTCGTGTCGTGTACGTGTGTGTATTCATTTGCGTGTGTCTGGCCTCATGGATGGATGGATGGACGCAACGATGCAGCGGATGGCGTTATTTCCCATCTTTGCGCATCGAGGGTGGGGGGGCAGCTTGGCTGCGCCGTGTATCTTAGGCTTTGTGCTTTGAGTATTTTTGTCTCTCCCTGGCTGCATCAACATGTGTCTCTCCCTGGCTTCATCAACATGTGGATGGTCGACGAGTGCATTGTTACGTTGATCTGAGGGGCCAGGTTGATGGGCCATAGATATACCGAAGGGGAGCGAGGGAGGGAGGGAGAGAGGGAAGCATAGCATCGCACTGACCAGCATCGGTCGCACGCATCGCAGGACATTGATCCATAGACAGTCATGATGGCTCGCTTGATGGCTGAAGAGTCGTCAGTCCGAGTACAACACACTTCAACAGGCAAGGCAGGCAGTGCTGAAATATTATCACAATCACACGTGTAGAATGTCCTTACGGTTCTGAGCGAGCCTCGCAGCCATCAGTCGGACCGGTCACACCATCACATGGCCTCTGTCGATGACGTCACTCTGCAGGTCGAAGCGCTTCAGCACACTGCGCCACCGGGGCATCGACACCGGGAAAATCTCATCGAGGGAGGCAGACGCACCAGCAGCAGCCGGCTCGGTCGTTAACAGGCCGACGCCCCCACACCCCACCCGCACAAAGGCAGCGACTGTGTCGGTCGGCCGGAAGCCGCTCACAATCACATAACGACAGTCAATCGGATCCGCTCGACTCAAGTCCCCGTCGTCAGTCCGGTTGTCGGCTGTGATGCCCAGCTCCTCCGGGATGTCGCCAGCTGTCAGCAGCCTCTGATAGCGGGGGTCGTCACGGCCAATGAATCCCCACGACACGACCTTGTAGTCCACTCCCTCATGACCAGGCCACCATGTCAGAACCATCCACGTGAGGAATGCCGTGGAGGACCGGAGGAGCCAGCTGTCGTCCCGGACGACGGGGTCGCTCTCCTTGTATGTGCTGCGGTAGGGATGGTCGGCCGGCAGCTCGCCCAACGGCACCACCCGAAACGACCAATCGCCGATCCGATACTCTCCGTTGGCGGCTCGCCGCAGCGCCAGGCGCTGTCCTCTGTATGTCAGTTGGTGTCCGATCAGCCGATAGATGGCCATGGCAAGTGGCACCGAATCAAAGGCCGACTTGCTGTGCAGGTGAGCCACCCACATGGTCAAGGGCAGCCCGTTGGGCGTCAGCCAATAAATGGCGGCCAGCCGGACAACCATGCCCATCACACGCCACTCACTGCCCCCCTGCTCCAGCACATAAAGGCATCGCACCAAGTAGCCGAAGCGCGTCAGCCGTCGGCCGGCCAGCTGAGCCGTGCATGTCCTCAGCAGGCCAAGAATCATGCCGATAAGGCCTCCGGGCTGATTGAGAGAGGGCGTGGTGCGGTCGATGTCGATAAGGCCAGTGAGTCCATGGCGGCTGAGGAGGGCGTCGATGCGCTGCAGAAGCAACTCAGCCGTGATCACCGCTGCGTGTGATCTGTCGGTGGCTCGAGCGGCAACAAGCTCACAGACGGGAAGGCACGGCAGCACAACGCTGCGCCACAGCTCAGCAGGCACCGAACCACACATCAGCAGCGATGCTTTGACGCCTCAATCAAATGGCTGCCTCTTCGTTGCTCACAAAAACACTACAGCGATGGGTGTGGGCGTCACTCGAAGTCGCCAAGCGCCGACTGCAGCTGGAAGCGCCTCTTGCAAGCTTAGCCTTGACAGATCTCACCCCCAACGCCGCGCATTGCTTATGCATTGGGCACCTCTTTCAAACCTGTCATCGCCTCGCCGTGGAGCAGCCGCCTCAGCCCGAATCGTCGCCCTTCTCCTCGTCTCGGTGCTGCCGAGGCCGTCTGCCGCTCTCTCCACCACAGGCAGCAGCAGGAGCAGCAGCAGCAGGAGCAGACGCCGGGAGATCCCCTCTTGCCAGGACACCCAAGCGCCCCACCGCCGTCGGCTTTTGTGTCAAAGCGCCCTGCTCCCCGAGGCTGCTGCGCTCTTCCAGCCCCTCGCGCGTCCATTGATGCCGACTCCCGCATCAGAGGCCCCTTCACAGACAGCTGCTGCACAACCATCGGCCACCCCCTCATCATCCACCGTTGTTTCGGCCAAGAGCTACCCGGCGCCCAACACGGGGATCACGACGAGCGATTTCCTGGCGCTGTCGACGATGAAGGTGCAGTGCGGGAGCACATTGGTGGACGTGCTTGAGATCGTCAAGATAGCCAAGCGTGCTGGTGCGGCCATCATGGCCATTTACGAGGGCGAGAAGGACAAATGGGAGGTCGAGATGAAGAGCGACAGCTCGCCCCTGACGGCCGCCGACAGGGAGGCCAACAAGGTCATCTGTGAGGCGCTGGCGACCCTCTACCCCAATGTGCCCATCGTCAGCGAGGAGAACGAGAAACTGGCCTACGAGGAGCGCAAGAACTGGGAGTACTACTTCTGCGTCGACCCACTTGATGGAACCAAAGAGTTCATCAAACGTCAGTAGGCAATCGACGGACAGCTTTTCGCACACGTGTGATTCATGCTTTCTCATGCGCGTGTGTGTGTGTGTGTGTGTTTAGGCAACGGTCAGTTCACGGTCAACATCGGCATCTGCAAAGGCCCCACGCCCATCGCTGGGGTGGTGACCATCCCGGCACAGGGCATCGCTTACTGGGCCGCAGAGGGGCTCGGTACGCACAACATGCACACACACAGACACACGGAGCTCCCACTGTGGAAGCTTGGTGGGGATCTCCGTCTGTGTCTGTCGTCGTCCGTGCATGTCAGGTGCCTACAAGGAGGAGAACGACGAGGTCAGGAAGATCCAGGCGGCGACCTTCAGCAAGGCCGACGAGGGCCTCACCATCGTGGCGTCGCGGTCGCACAACACGCCCGAGACCCAGGAGTTCATCAGCAAGTACAAAAACCCCACACTCATATCGCTCGGGTCAGTGAGTGAGGACTGTAGACAGCGTGATGAGCGGCGGGGGGCGGGGCGGCCACTTGAGACCGTGGATGTGTGTGTCTGTGTGTGTGTGTGTGTGTGTATGTGTCGTTGTGTGTCTGTCTGCATCAGTTCGTCGATCAAGCTGATGCTGGTCGCTGAGGGCACGGCTCACGTCTACCCACGACTCGCACCCACGTGTACCTAACACACACATGCACAAGCAATGATGCCATCCGTCCATCCATCCCTCTATCGTGTGTGTGTGTATCGTCCTGTAGGTGAGTGGGACACCTGCGCCGCCCACGCCATCGTCAACGAGGCTGGTGGCAGAGTCGTCCAGGTCACTCGCAATTGCAAACACACAGCCAATACACAATCGATGTCCACACACGTGAGGCACACGCAGACCTCACTCGTGTGTGCATATGTTTGTTTGCAGGCGACAGGCGGCTCCCCGTGTGAAGAGGGCGAGCCGGTGCGGTACAACAAGGAGAACACACTCAACCCATTCTTTGTCGTCTACGGCAACCAAACCGACTGAGTGATGGGCTGATGGGCCGATGGATGGATGGATGTCAAGGTCCACAGATGGCCTGGCCGGATCAGGATCAGCCTAAAAAGGGCTGGGTCGCTTGGTGGAGTGGGTGGGTGCCCGCGGGGGGGGG